AATCCCACTCGCTATTACATCACACTTCATGATCCCACCAAAAATGTTGACAAGTATAGCCTTCACCTTCTCGTCAGATGTCAAAATTTTGAAGGCTTCCACAACCTGATATGTATATTCAATTAAGTAAAAAATATTTAACAAAATATTGTGGAAATAGAGGACGAAACCAATCAAAAAAAATTTTGTGGTTGAAATTATTAATTCCCATAACCTATAAATATGCTTTCAGATTATTTATAAGGAAAATGAACCCACATTCGAATTTGTAAAAAGAGACGTAATAAGAAGTACCTGGCCTTCAGAAGCATTTCCCCCGACATCAAGAAAATTGGCAGGTGTTCCTCCATGTAACTTAATAATGTCCATGGTCGCCATAGCCAATCCAGCACCATTTACCATACAACCAATTTCTCCATCTAAGCCAATGTAATTCAAATCGGCTTTTGCAGCAGCAACCTGAAAAGTAAAATAGCAGATGTCATGCACAGAGGATAAACATCCAGAGAAACAAAGATTTATCAGCTTCTTCAACAGCCTAAAACATAAAGGTCAAGATTGATTACCTCACGAGGATCTTCTTGGGTTGGATCCCGAAGAGCAAAAATCTCCTTCTGGCGGAAAGCAGCATTATCATCAAAGTTTAGTTTTGCATCAGCAGCTACTAACTGCTTATCGGCAGTCTCGGCAATAGGATTGATCTGTCATAAAACAATGCTTCGAAGTTGGAAATAATAAAAAGTTGAACTGTCAAATACAAGGCTCTGAGGTTTTAAATAGTACAAATGTCAACGGTAAATAAATTTACAAGAGGACAAATAGAGCACTTCTGACAGAAGTCTGTCAAACTTTATCACCTCCAACAGCGTGCAATCACATTTGCAGAAAAGTTCGTAGAGCTTCTTCACTTGTTCAATCGAAGCATTTCTATCAGCTACCTTGGGTGACAGACCATCAACTACCTTGGCGGCATCCTCATCAGTAATTCCTGCGAAAACGTCAATAGGCACCTGTCCCAGGAAAGATTATATAACATAAAACAGTAAAAGATCATTTCTACAAGATGGATTCGGAATTAGGGAAGGGAGTCCAACCTTTACAATCAGCTCGGGGTGTTTCTCTGCAAGATCTTCAATACTAGTTCCTCCCTTTTTACAGGCAATAATAATCTGCAAGATATAGATGATAACACGTGACTCAGAAGATAGCAAGATAACTTTACTAAATGTGCCACACGTTGGCGAAGGCATTAAGTCTATATAAATTCATAATAAATTAGTCGACATGACATGCATAATGAAAATTTCAAATATAGGAGATTTAATTATAGCCCACAGCAATAGATGGAAGTTCTATAATTAAGAGACTCAAAGTACAAATCCATACTACAAGAATAAAACATTATGACATAAATGTATAGTTTACGAACAATCCCCTGAAGTTCACTAACAATGTGAATGTATAGAATGAGTACATTAACCACGAGAACATAAGACCAGTATGGAAACTACTTATCAAGGTAAATCCATAAACAAGTAAAATGAAGTAATAGAAGCGCAAATGGGATGATGGCTTTGATTGATACCCAACAGAAATTCAAACACAAATAGAGCTTCCATCTTTAGGAACTTACAGGACCAGCAGATATGCGATCAAGAGTAATTGCAAAATACATCTCATTGACTAGGGATAGCTTCTCAGCCAAATACACCTGAAAAGGAAAACAAATAGAATTGCCTTATGAGAACATAAAGGAGTGAAAATTCCTGCAGAAAAAATAGACAACAGCAGTGGATAACTGGAGAAAGTACAGCAAAGGCAATAACATCATCATATGGAGAACTATTTCCAGTTATTTATCTAGAACAAGCAAAAAAGATCTTATGTTCAATGGAACTATTCAGGCAACTCTGACTGAAAGAAAAGCTCAAATAAAATCTTCTAACAAGTAGGCAAGGATTGTGATGCACGTACGATGGGAATAAAACAAATTAAAGATTCATGCAAATGTGGATAAGGATTAGAATAAAATTAGTGGTGACGGTGCACAGAATCATGTTCAGCAGTCAAATAGTTTCGAAACTACTGCTACATTTTTCCTATCGTTCTTAATTAATATGAATCTAAGCAGTTTTACCAATCAATAGCAACAGCTTTTTCTTACGATAAGTTAATTTATACAGCAATCAATTATCATTTATCACACATCAGAAGTTGCCTAATTATACAATTGAAATTACGTAAAGTCACATGGAATCTTGAACCAAAATTTGATAAGATTATTTATAGGTTCCAGTCGCGAGTGTAAGCATATAAGTACATTCAAAATTTTCATAATCAAAGAAGAAACAAGGCCAAACCTTGCTGACAACTTTTCCTTGAGGCCCAGTTTGCTTAGTAACAAGTATCTGACCGAGCATTTTCCCTGAGATAACATAACTTCATATTATAATTAATAATAGCCGTTAAGGAATGAGTAGCTGCTAATAACATGGGATCAAGGTCTTTCATAAGATGAAAAATAAAAAGTGGTGGATAATGGTCATGAATGATGTCACTATGCAGTTTTATGATCCACCAACCAAAACTACATCAACGATGGATGGTGTATTATATAAGTCTGGAAAAGAAAATGACACAAAATAATGCAATTCATAAACCGAGGGAGATTAAGAGAAGCTCTATAACACCTAGTAGTTGTTAACACTAAAATTCCATATAAACTGTTCCTACCAGCTATATCCTCAACTTGATCAGCCTTTACAATATGAACTCCCCCCTGGAGACCACTCTTGAATGTCCCCAGCCCTCGACCACCAGCAAGAATTTGAGACTTCACAACCACCTACAACAAAAATTTGCCGCAGGATATCATTTAGTTTTTTATACTGTTTTGCTTAAAAAAGACCCAAGAACTTCAACTATAGAGTTTAACAAAACTATTCTAATCATCAATTAAGAAAACAAGGAATAGAAAAAGTATCATCCTCGAACTACCTCACTCTCATTAGGAAAGACTTCTCGCAACGACTTCCTAACTTCATCGACAGAACCAACGGCCACACCTTTTGGAACATTTATTCCATGTTTGCTCATCAACTCCGCTCCCTGCCATCAATATATAACAATTCAGATTCAATGTTAGCTAGTAACATCTCAATGGTTAATTTAGGTTCATCTTTAGTTAGAAACATTTCAACGATGACCTATTAACGTTTTCAAACAATAGCGCCATTCAAATCATCAGTCACCACGCCCAAAAACTTGCAGCCCTAAAGCTAAAAATAACGCAGTTTCAATTAATGCCTGTGGTGAAATTTGCAGAACAAAAACCGAACTGAAAAATGCGAAACAGATCACACGCTCGAAATTTCAAAATCGGAGCCTGAGAGTGCGTGATAAAGAGCGATTGCGTGTCGGGGATACCTGATACTCGTGTATGTTGAGACGGCGGAGCTGTTGCTGCTGCCATTTCCCGGCGACGGAGAGCGAGCGGCCGGCGATTTTGCCTAACAAACCTCTCACCATTTTGTTTCCCGTATATCTCTGCCTTCTTTAAAATCCTCCAACGCAAGATCGAACTGAGAAATAAGCAATCAGTGTCACGAAAATTACAGAGACGCCTTAAACCCTAGTATAACTTATTACTTTATTATATATTTTGTTTTCATTTCAATCCCTTTTGCGGCAACTTTTTATTTATTATTTGGAAAAAAGGTAAGATAAAAAGGTGAAAAATATTTTTTTAAAGAAGAAAAAATAATAAAATATTAATTAAGAAGACTAATAATTCAAAACATGTGACTCGGTAATTATGTTTTTATTTGATAATATATTAGTGGTTATTTTTTTTATTGTATTAGTGGGATTTGTATAGAAAAAAAAATAAATAGTATTTTTTATTTCATTTCAATTTCAATAGGAAAATTTCACTGGATAAACAAAAAATAATTAAAATAATTAAAAAAATATACATATATGCCAAGGGAGATTCTATTACTGAATAATTCCATCGGGATTTGTAACCGTTAGATCAATTATCCATGATTCCGTAACGACACTGTAGTATTTCCCATATACCAGCCTATTCTTTTTTTTTCAAACATATTACATATATTAGTTGAAGTAATAAACTCAATTATCCGCGTTTTTTTTATTCGTGATATATTTAATCAAAATAAAATATTATTATTGATAATTAATAATAAACTAATTATTTAAAATGAAATAAAATTACGTTATTCGACATTTTTTGTTTTGGTACAATGAAGGAGGACAAACGCCTAAGCTAGTACTAGCCGTGAGTACGACAACCCCCATACTACCGTGATCCATCCAATCTCCCAGCCCTAGGGGAAGGACATCACTCGTTGAAGCCCAATTTGGTTGGACGTCGCCAGTCGTGTTAATTGATCAACCGCAAAATTCGCTTCCTTATGCACGTGACGGATCCAGATAATCCACTCTCGATGGGTTAAGGCTTGAATCGCCTTGATCATCGCTTCATGCGCCCCAAAGACGCCATCGGGCCTAGAGATCATCTTCGTCGCACTCTGGCTATCAACGGTGATATGGTAATTGGTAAAGGAACGGCATTTTGAGGTTGATGATAATAAATGTTTGTCACGTTTTTGTTGCTATTTTCGTTGATATTTTGTGTGTCGTTTCCCCCGTTTTAGGTCTTTTCTTAGGTATTTCCGGCCCTCTTTGTCGTTTCTTATGCTTTTGTCTTTATTTTGGCGTGTTTAGTATTTTCTGTGTTTTCGTTCCTATTTTTCTCTGTTTTTCGTGTTTGTCCGGTGGTGCGATTTCAGGTTCTAGGCTGCCCGGATTGGATAGCATTCTGACGAGGAGGGAAGTGTGTTGTTCGAGCAT